TTCCCATTCCCATTCCCCCATTCCCATTCCCATTCCCATTCCCATTCCCACTCCCATCCCCATCCCCATTCCCCCGTACCGCTGCACGAGCAGCGCCTGCCGCTCGGGGGGGATCTGGAAGAGCAGCTGCTGCAGCAGGCGCGGCGGCGCGTGCAGGAGCCGCTCCAGCATCTGGAAGGTTCTGTAGTGGTCGCGGGTGTCGCTCTGCAGCACGGCCACCGAGGTGCCCTCGCGCTCCAGCACGCCGCCCCGCAGGCGGCGCGCCACCGCCTCGGCCACTGCGGGAGCGCGGCCGTCAGGGGACACGGGACGGGGGACAGGGGACAGCCAGGGGACACTGAGACAGCCAGGGGACAGGGGACAGTCAGGGGACACGGGACAGCCAGGGGACAGGGGACAGCCAGGGGACAGCCAGGGGACACGGGACAGCCAGGGGACAGCCAGGGGACACTGAGACAGCCAGGGGACACGGGACAGCCAGGGAACACGGGACGGGGGACACGGGACAGCCAGGGGACACTGAGACAGCCAGGGGACACTGAGACAGCCAGGGGACAGGGGACAGCCAGGGGACACCGGGGACACGGGGGACACGGGGACACGGGGACACGGGGGACCCCGGGGCCGTACCCGAGTGCCCGTCCAGCCAGAGCCGGTACACCTCCTCGTCGATCAGCGTCGTGTTCCCCACGAACACGTCCAGGTCGCTGCTCATCCCTGCGGGGCAGAGGTGCCAGCGTCAGCAGTGTCCCCGTGTCACCGTGTCCCCAATGTCACCAGGGTCATCGTGTCGCTGTGTCCCCAGTGTCACCGTGTCCCCAACGTCACCAGGGTCACCGTGTCACTGTGTCCCCAGTGTCACCGTGGCCCCAGCGTCACGACTGTCACAGTGTCCCCGGTGTCAAGGTGGCCCCGGTGTCCCAGTGGCCCCGCGGCCCCAGACACGCTGGCAGGGAGACACCAACCCCAAACTGGGCCAAACTGGGACCCCAGACCCCAAACTGGGACCCCAGACCCAAACTGGGACCCCCCAGACCCAAACTGGGACCCCAGACCCCAAACTGGGACCCCAGACCCAAACTGGGACCCCCCAGACCCAAACTGGGACCCCAGACCCCAAACTGGGATCCCCCAGACCCCAAACTGGGACCCCAGACCCAAACTGGGACCCCCCAGACCCAAACTGGGACCCCAGACCCAAACTGGGACCCCCCAGACCCCAAACTGGGACCCCAGACCCAAACTGGGACCCCAGACCCCAAACTGGGACCCCCCAGACCCAAACTGGGACCCCAGACCCAAGCTGGGCCGTACCGGGACCCCCCCGCCCCTCCCCCACCCACCGGCGCCGTCCCGCGCGCTCCCTCCGCGGCGCAGAGCGGTGACGTCACGTGTGCCGGATGTGACGTCACTGAGGGGCGCGGCCGCGCCGCTCCGGCCCCTCCCGCTTCCGGCCCTCCCGGCCCCCCCCAGTAAAAACCAGTAAAACCAGTAAATACCAGTAAAACCAGTAAATACCAGTAAAACCGGTCCCTGTCCCAGCCCCCAGGTCCAGTCCCAGTAAGAACCAGTAAAACCAATAAGAACCAGTAAGACCAATAAAACCAGTAAGAACCAGTAAAACCAGTAAAACCAGTAAGAGCCGTCTCTCCCAGTTTATTGGGGGTGGGGTCGCGGGGGGGGCCGGGGCCCCCCCAGTCCCTCGGTGGGGGCGGGGCTGGTCCTGGAGCTGGGGAGGCGCTGGGGAGAGAAGGGGGGAACTGGGATGGAGTGGGATGTACTGGGATGGACTGGGAGGGGCTGGGAGGGACTGGGATGTACTGGGATGGACTGGGAGGGACTGGGATGTACTGGGATGGACTGGGAGGCACAAGCACCCCCCAGAACCACCAGGGTGAACTGGCCCCCCCAACCCCAAACTGGGACCCCCCAGACCCAAACTGGGACCCCCCAGACCCAAACTGGGACCCCTGACCCAAACTGGGACCCACCAGACCCCAAACTGGGACCCCAGACCCAAACTGGGACCCCCCTGACCCAAACTGGGACCCCCTGACCCAAACTGGGACCCGCCTGACCCAAACTGGGACCCCTGACCCAAACTGGGACCCCCCGACCCAAACTGGGACCCCTGACCCATACTGCCCCCCCCCCATACTGGTCCATACTGGTCCGTACTGGGAGCCGCCGGTGCCGCGGGAGCCGGGGGGGGCCCGGGGGGGCCACGAGTCCGAAAAGGGCCTCGGCCAGAGCCTGGGGGTCAAAGGTCACAGCCGGACCCCAGACCCCGGGGGGTCGGGGGGGTCGGGAGATATTTAGGGGATATTTGGGGGGATTTTGGGGAGATTTTGGGGGATTTTTGGGGGGGATTTGGGGATTTTGGGGGGAATTTAGGGGATATTTTGGGTTGATTTTGGGGGGTATTTGGGAGATATCCTGGGGATATTTGGGGGATATTTGGGGGATATTCCGGAGGATATTTTGGGGGGTATTTGGGAGGATATTTGGGGGATATTCGGGGGGATATTTGGGGGATATTTGATGGATATTTCGGGGACATCTGGGGGATATTTCAGGGATATTTGGGGGATATCTGGGGGATATTTCAGGGATATTTTGGGGATATCTGGGGGATAATCCGGGGGATATTTCAGGGATATTTGGGGGATATCTGGGGGATATTTTGGGGATATTTGGGGGATATTTGGGGTATATTTCAGGGATATCTGGGGGATATTTAGGGGATATTTTAGGGATATTTGGGGGATATCCGGGGGATATTTCGGGGCTCTCTGGGGGATATTCGGGGGGTCTGGGGCGCGGTCCCACCTGCAGCGCCCGCAGCAGCCGCGTGCCCAGCCCCAGCACGGCCCCGGCCGAGGCGGCGCCGAGCGCGGAGACCCCACGGGCGACCCCACGGGTGACGCCCACGGGACCCCCCCCCGGCAGCGGCGGCAGCAGCAGCTCCCGGAGAGCCCGCCCTGGGGGGACAGGAGGGTACTGGGGGCACTGGGGG